CCGGGACGGCTCTGATGAACCAGGACTCTCGGGGGGGTGCTGGGGACCCGGTACGTGTCCCGCAGCCGCCGCCGCCGCCGCCGCCGCCGCCATTGTCGCGGGGGGCGGGCGAGGGGTCTGGCTCGACGGATCCGCAGATTACCATGACCAAGGCGCCGTGGGCCAAGTGAGCATTTAGGTAGCATGGAGCAAACCGTGTTGTTCGTGATGGAGCAGCTTGACACTGAGCACGCTGAGGATTGACGGCTATCAAGCGACGAGAGAAGACGGCACAGACGCTGAAAACTCTAGACAGCATAGAATCAGGCGAAACAATGCATGACGAGGGACGATTCAAGAAAAACGTACGCTGAATTGCTGGCAAGAGAGGGTATACAGACTAACGAAACGCGAACACAACCGCGCCAGGTGGAAAGCAAAAAGAGCGAAATCAACGCTGCCACCAGCTCCACCTCTCGCTTCAAAATCACGAATCGTAGATATCCAGCTAAACATCCTCATCCTCGTCTCCCTCGAGCTCCACATTCGGTGCCTCTGTTCCAATGATGCTGTGAACCACAAAACGCTGAGGATCTGTTGCCGTCCCGTCACGCAACCGCTCCATTTCATTACCCCTGACAGAATCGTCACTCGACCCTGAAGATGTGTCAAATTCAGGAGTGGACTCGGTCAGCGAACGAGAAAGCCATTGCGGGTGCACATCAACCAAATCTTCTTGGCCCCATTCGAAACTCCATTCAGAAATTGGGGCCCCCTCGCTGTCCTTAGCCTCTTGCACGGTTGGCAGAGTTGTCTTCACAACGCGGACCTAACGCAGCTCCTAATCTGGCAAGCGAGAATGGGTGACGAAAACGTCGGAAAGTGGAACAGTGGAAGAGATGCCGCGCACGCCTGGGAGACGAGTCGAGACGAAGAGACGTGATGCTGGAACCGGAACCGACGCAAAAGGTGGAAAGGAGGCCGGGCGACGACCGCCTAACTAGGCGGTCGGGGCGTCCTTCTTCACCTCAGTCGCGGCAGCGGGGGCAGCGGCGGGTGCAGCAACAGGCGTAGCAGCAGGTGCGGCAGCAGGAGCCTCAGTTGGCTGCGCGATAGGCGCAGCAGCGGGGGCCGCAGCATCGACGGCGGGGGCGGCGTCGGTCTTGGCGGGCTCGTCGGGGGTGGCGGGGTTGACCACAACCTGAACGGCAGGCGAAGCGGCAGAAGCCGGGGCTTGTGGATGCATGTCAGTCTTGGTCCCCTCCAAGGTTTTGCAGCATGGATCTAAGACATACCAGGCTCAGCAGTCGTAGGGGGCGCCTCGCTGACAAGAGTCTTGGGCTCGGGAACCTCAGCAGCCTTGGCCGGCTCAGGGACGGCCGCCGCCGCAGCGGGAGCAGCAGGCTCGGCGGCGGTGGCGGCAGCCGGGGCAGGGGCAGCGGGCTCAGCTTCGGGATGGTCAGTTCCAAGGCGGTCGGGAGGGTGTGCTTAGGGTCAACATACTGGCGGGAGCAGCGGCCGGGGCGACGTCGGTCTTTGTGGGGTCAGCGGCGTTTGTCTTGGTGCCTCCACAGGCGGGGGCGGCCTCCTCTTGGCGGGGGGTGGCAGTCGACTCGGACTTCTGGTGCTTTCTTGGAGAAGGCTTCCTTGAGGCGAGCCTTCAGGTTGTCCAAGGCGTGGAGAGCTGCAGAGTGTTAGCAAGCGGTGTGACGGGCAGTAAGCGAGTACGGCGAGCGAAGGACAGTATCGATGTTGCTGATCGGGCAAGAGGCTTGTCTCATAATGATACTATGTGACGGACATCATTGCAGAGAGCGGAGGTATCATGCCTAAGCAGCAAGATCGGTCTGTCGCGTCTTCGACTACGCCGAGTTCGACTTTGGGGTGGGTGCGGGTGGACTTGCGAATGCCGGGCATGGTGGGCTACGAAACAAGGGTATTTCGGGATAGCAAGTAGGGGCTGTGAAGCTGTTGAGAGAATGTCAGAAACTGGTCGCCGGCACGAGTGCTCTGCAAAGGATGCCCGTGGGAGTGGAATGTAGGTGGTGGTGAGAACGACGATAACGCACACGACACAGTGACGACGGAAGAGACGTGACCTGATCGTGGTGGCTCGCACGCCAAAGCAGCGTAGGTAGGCTTTGCAGTCTACACGAGGCTGAAGGGGGAGGCGGGGCTAACCTGGAGGACTGCTGGTGTCTAGCAACAGCAACTTGACAGAGGGAAGCACGAGGATGCAGAGAGAGTTGAGGCAGGAGATGAGGAACGGGAAGGCTCGAACAGGAGAAGAGGGGAAGAAGGGTGGACGAGAGGCAGCTGTCAGGGACGTTCAAGCTTTGGTCCCCTGCTCCTGCCTCATACCCACTCGCATCGATCGGTGACAGTCAGGCCAGGTCGAAGTCGGGGTCAGGTCCAGGGTCCAAGGCCTGTCCAAACCTGTCCAAACCTGTCCCAGGCGATCAAGCACCCTATCATGAAGCGCCTCTCGTCTCTAAAACAAGCTCAGCTGAGCCGTGTTTAATCAACCGGCTTATGACATGCAGCTAGCCACCTTCATTTCCCCCCCCCCGTTTCTCCTCCGGCCCCCTGCCAATCTCCAATCGCAAAATGCCGTCATTCATCCGCCCAAGCCTCGCTGGAGCCACTCACGCTGGAACCTGGGGACGTTTTTGGGGGCCTGTTGGACGAGTGGCCGACCTGAACACCGCCTTAGCGACACCACATGGCGCCCGCCGCCGGGTCTCGACTGGCCTCTCAGTGGCCGGGCGCCTAGACCGCTGCTCTGCTGATCCCTCGGGCTGCCGCACGAACGAGCTTCATCGGCGCGCGCTAGCCGGCTTTAGCGACAACAGGAACAGAAATGTCACAACTCAGTACCACAACACCATGCCAAGCATCGCCGAACACATTGGTTCAGATGATAGCATGGGTAGCTCAATCTGCCATTCAATGTAGTGTCACATCAAAGTGCAATCCGCTGCTTCAGCCATTCCCGCACCACCGCGTCCCCCCTTGCGCCCAACTCGTGAGGGCTGCCGTCACCGACATCAACGACCTTGACCCGCGCCTCCATCTCCCCCTCGGCGTCGAAATCCTCGTCCCACTTCATGCGTTCTTTCAACTCCAGCTTCTCCATGCTCCGCCGCAAGAGCCCCGCCAGCTCCTGCGCCTGCGCCTCGAACTGATTGCCCTTTGCCTTGCGCTTACGCACGCTTGTCGTCTTTCGCTTCGCAGTGGAGGAAGTGGTCGCGGCAGCGATGACAGCTGCGTCATGCACGAGCAACGTCGAGGGAATCCCCAGCGTCGACTTCCGCGGCGGAAACACCAGCGCGCTGCGCCTCGGCATCCTGGCCACGCTCGCAGGCATCAAATCTGCCGCTGACCCCTCGAGCCCCAGCGCCGCCATCCTGTCGACGAGGCCCGCAACGGCGACCGTCTGCGTGAACGACGGCGGGATCTCGAGGCCCGCCGTCTGAAAGAAGAGGCTCGGGCTCGCGAACGCGTCGAACAGCGACACCGGCGCACCGAACAGGTCGGGCAGGGCATCCCGCAGGACGCGCAGTGCCGAGCCCTCTTCGGGGCGGTGGCACGGGCGTCGTCTTGCCGCGGTAGGTCGTTGGCTTGTTGAGCTTGTGGTCCGGCAGAACATGGTCCAGTTGTAGACGCCGTTTGTAGGCGGCGAGGCCGCGGACGGCGGTGGCCTCGTGCTTGTGACACTCTGTCAGGGCGAGGGCGGCGGCGAGCGTGGCGCCGAGGTACGTGCCGTGGAGGTAGATGGCGCGGCGCGCCTGGTTCTCCGGGCGGAGGTTCTTGAGGAGCCAGCTGTAGGCGAAGAGAACATCGTGAAGCGGGGTCGGCCAGTGCAGGGGCGCCTTGAACTCGTCTTGGGTCGACGGCTCGGTATGCGAGCTCGTCAGGGAGGAAGGCCCAGTCCAACGGTAGTTGATGACAGCGGTGGGGAAAGGGGCAAGAAAGTCGGGGAGATGGGGTTCTTTGCCGGGTATCGGGGCAAAGGGCGGAAGATGGACGACCAAGGGGACTGTAGACGGTATGTGAGATGTATTGTGGAGGCTGTGAAGAATGTCAGTTGCGACAAACGGCAAGGCACAAGATAGCTGACGAACTCACTCAATGGTGATGCTCCCTGAGGAGCGGCACGGCACCTCGACGCGGTGGACATCACTTGAGAAGCATCTTCGCTGAGGGAGCCAACGGCTGCGTCTGGGAAATCGCAGAAGCCTCGGCCATTGTGACTTCATGCCCAGGGCCTAGAGTATGTCTCGCGGTGGTCGAGGATCATTGGAGCTCATGAGACGCGAGATGAGACGAGAAAGCAGACACAGATGGAGATTGCCTGCTATCGTAATCGCAATCGCGCGTTTTGGCACGGCCACTGTAAAGGATAGAGACCATGTGTGGCTGATGCTGTAGGAGCATCCACCAATCAGCAGACCCTGGCGGTGCTTCCTGCCTGGTCATCCCACCCGTGGGCGGGCCTTGGCAGGAGCACCCCAGTCACGAGCTCCAAAAGCGGCGACGTCATGGCATTTCCCCCTTCGCATCGCAGTAGCTTCGGGATTCGCTCGTCCCTGCCTCGCCCCTAGCACAAACACGGCAGTGGCCTCGACGCGAGGAAATGGCTTCTATCTCTCAGATGGCGGGTTTGCTGTGCATCTGATTTTCATCTTCCCTGCCCTCAGCCTGGACAGTTTTGTCCCGAGGAACCCGTTACTGCACTCATAACTTACATGCCTCGACAATTTTTTTTACGATCCTCGAGTTTAAGATTCAGTCACGCCATCCCGAGGGGTGGATCGTGGTATCACGATAATGACGCTGTCACGAAGACAGCTGTAAATATCTCAACGCCCTCAACAACACTGTCATCACCATGAACGACGCCGACCTAGATGCACGTATCGAGGACCATGTGAATGAGTACCAGGGCGAGAAGAGCCAGAGCCAAGACCACAGTAACGATCAGAGTCAGGAGCAGCAGGACGAGGTGCGGTTCGAGAATGATGGCTTCCATATGACTCCAAGGTACTACCTTTCGTTCTTGTCTCCCCTGCCACCATAGCATACAGGGGCGCTCTTGTTCTCGTCTACGGCACTGACAGGTCCAGCCGCTGGTGGTTTGCTTCCTCGGCATTTCCCATGATCGCGGGCACCTTGGGTCCCGTTGCGTCCGCCTTCAGCATCTGCGCCCTCGTCCGCTCATGGCGACAACACAGACCTCCAGGCACCTCGATCAGCGATGCCCAATTCGTAGCCGATCCAGAATGGCTCCTCATCATCAATGCCATCCAGCTCGCCATCGCCATCACCTCTAACCTCTTTCTGCTTCTCAACATGGCCCGCCGCGTCCGCTTCTCCATCGCCCAGCCCATCACCATCATCGGCTGGTACATCTCGGCCTTTACCCTTATGGCCCTCCTAGCCACGGCCGCCGGACCTTTGCAGCTCCAGCCGAGCCACGAGTACATCTGGTCCCAGGCCTTCTTCTACGGTCTCAATGCGGCCGTCCTCTACTTTGTCACCGCCTCCCTCATGGTCGTCACCTTTTACGGCGCCCATACCCGCCGCTACCCGAAGGACTTCCAGCTCACCGCTAGCCAGCGCACCCTCATGCTGCAGACCATTGCTTACCTGTTCTATCTGCTCATAGGTGCTCTCGTATTTGCCGAGATTGAGGGCTGGATCTACCTCGACGCTGTGTATTGGGCCAACACGACCCTCTTCACCATCGGCTACGGCGACTATTCCCCCAGTTCCACCCTTGCCCGCGCTCTCCTTATCCCATATGCCCTCATTGGCATCGTCACCCTCGGTCTGCTCATCGGCTCCATTCGCTCCATGGTTCTGGAACGAGGTCGTCGCCGTCTCGACGCTCGCATGGTTGAGAAGCGTCGCCGCACCCTCATCCGCAAAATGACCAAACGCGGTTCTGACGTGCTCGTGCCCATCGACAATGCCGACTCACTCGTGCGTCCATCGACCTCACACTCGTCAGGGTCTGATTCTGAATATAACCGCCGTAAGCACGAGTTTTCTCTGATGCGCAGGATTCAGCATGAGGCTACCACGCGCCGTCGATGGATGGCTCTCATCATCTCCCTCTCGGCCTGGCTCGCCCTCTGGCTTCTCGGTGCCCTCATCTTCCACGCCTGTGAGAAGCCATATCAGCCTTGGGACTACTTTGATGCCTTTTACTTTTCTTTCATTTCTCTGACTACAATCGGCTACGGCGACTTGTCCCTCGTGTCGAACGCTGGCCGCGTCTTTCATGTCGTTTGGACACTTCTTGCCCTCCCAACCACAACCGTCATGATCTCCAACGCCGGCGACACTGTTGTCCTCGCTGTCAAGAATGCCGTTCTCGAGCTCGGAAACGTTACCATCCTCCCCGGCGAGCGCGGGTTCAAGGAAGACCTTGCGGCCGTCGTTCATCGCTTCTCTCTCGGCATCGTTTCTTCCGACAAGGCACCGGCCGACCACGATGCAGAGGACGAGACGCACGCTTTCCCAAAAGAGTTCTCTCACGCTGTGCGTCGCAACACGTCCTCGCTGGCCGCCATGGATGGCAGCGACGGAGACGACGCTGCCGCAGCGTCAGAGTACCACTTTCATCTCATCCAGGCCATCTCCACCGTTTCGACTGCGCTCACAGAGCCCAGCCAGCGACGCTACACGTTTGCCGAATGGGCCACTTTTCTTCAGCTGCTCGGCGAGGACGAGGCAGACGCATCAACGCACTGTCGCGCGAAACCTCACGAGCACAAGAGACGGAAGCGCAGGCCAGTGAGGGTCGGAACAGGCGAGGCAAAGGCGCCGGGCCCTGACTTGAACTCGGGAGATATGTGGTCCTGGGTCGGCAGCCGGAGCCCGCTCATGGGCAGCCAGGAGGAGAGCGAGTGGCTGCTGAAGAAGTTGACGCAGAAACTGCAGGATGAATTGAAGAGAGCACAGGTCACGGCTCGAGCTGGGCCAGCGTGGGATGAGGTTGTCTAATAACCCGTGCGATACTGTTCCTGGCGTTTTCTTTTTGTGCATGGCGTTTCTTTAGGCTGAATACCCTGTTCGGCGGTGGATTTCTTTTTTCTGTAGTTCGGGGAGACGCAATGCGGTCATCCGCTTATCACGACAGAGAGATCACGAAGATTCAGGTGTAGTGACATATGTGAAGACAATGCTATTCGCTTGATTTTGCAATTCAGCATCCGCTGTAGGGATGCCAGAAGGATGCTGGACCATCTACTTTTCTAATCAATTCTACAAGTAGCAATACACGCTGGGTACATCTAGTTCGTACACTCCGGTATTACACAAGGGCCTTTTTCATCCATACAAAATCCCGTCATAATCACCCCCACACCGATTGTCTCCGAGTCGAGGAAAGGCAGAGTGCAGCAGAACAGGACAGTTACACCCGCGCCACGACGGCCAACCGCCTGCCGGCCCGCGAGAGGACTTCGACAACGACAGCGACGAGCTGGACACACGCGACAACGGCGCGGACGAGCATGACGAGGAAGACGCGCTCGATGAGCGCGACGACAGCCCTCACGCCCATGCCGGCCCCCACGCGCAGCGCCCCGCCGGGAAGCATGCCGACGGCGAGGCCGGTCGTGACGCCCGCCACGGCGAGTCACCTTCCCGCCGGCAGCAGGAGGCGGCGGTTGCGCTTGATGACCCTGGTTAAGGCCCTTTTCAAGACGTTCCGTCTCCTTGCGCGCGAGTTGCAGCGCCGACTCGGCCTCTTCGACGCTCATGAGGGACATGCCGTTGAGGGGTGGTAGCTTGGTCAAGTACTGCTGCGGGCCGCCCGGGCCGGCGGCCGTGGCAACGCCGTCGGGACCGCTGCCGTAGCCCACACCATGAGGTTGGTGCGGGTGGTGGTGGTGCGGGTGCGCCGAATCGAGGCCGCCAAAGGGAGTCTCGTCTTCGGGCACGTCGCGGAGGCCACCGTTACCGCTCTCGGCCGAGTATATGCCTGCGCCAGCGGCGGCGTCGTGGCCGTAGATCCAGGGCGCCAGCGTGTTGAGGCTTGCGGCGGCGACATCGCGCTTGGTGCCCGTCAACTGGAATTCCTGGGCATTGTTGTTCGCGTTGCCGTGCGACTTCCAGTTGCTGGCGAACCCCAGGTTTGCGGTGCCAAGATTCAGGCGCGGCAGCACAAATTGGTTGATGTAGCTGATGGCCTCCTCGCGCTGCAGCTTGTTGACGGGGTCATCGGCGAACAGGCGCTGCTGCTGCGAGGGCGGGGGCGGGAAGAAAGACGGAACCCGTTGGGCACCGCGCGCCCCTTGATGAGCGAAAAGCCGCCGCCTCGGGGAAAGTGACGGGGCGCGACGAACGCGTCAGGCTCATCCGTCATCAGGGCGACACGCTTTTGGTAGAAGAGGTAGTTCTGTTCCTCCTGCTCCGTCAAATGACGCAGGCAGTCACCATTGGGTGTGATGAGGACCCGATGGCCATCGATCACCTTGCGAACCGGTTTTCCGGAAAGAAGCTTCGCATGATCCTTCTCCGTCACGATACTCTTAGTCGAAGGAGGGGGGTTGTTGGTGTCAGCGGCGGCGGCGGCAGCACGGTCACCGCCGCGGTTGCTCTGGTCGTTGACAGGCTTCAACAACTGCAGCATATCGGCCGCAAAAGACATGCCGCTGCTGACAAGCTCATGAAAGACATACTCTGGGGATGTCTTGGGGTTCTCACCAGCATCCTTCGACTCCTCGGCAGCCGGAGCAGCGGGCTCTGGTGAGGCAGGTTTCGGCGTGTTCTTCGGCGACGGCGCGACGGCCTTTTCCTTTCCTTTCCCCTTGTCTTGGGAAGCGTTGGTCGTGTTGCCAGCCTTGGCTTTCTGGTCTTGCTTTGCACCCTCCGACCTCTTAGGAGCGACTGTGGTGCTGTCAGTGTCCTCCGTCTTGAATTCAGCAGCAGTAGTCGATGATGGCGCTGCCGCAGTTGCTGAAGTCTTCTTCTCTGTGGTTTTGACGGGCTTCTCCTTCTTGACCTTCTTCTTGCGGCCTAGGATGGGCGCATGCTCCTCGGGCTCAGCAGGTTTCGCAGCCTCGACAATTGCTGCAACCTTGTTGGCTTCCTTGCGCGCCTTGCGCTGTTGGCTCTTGGTGTTGGTCCGGACAGGAGCGGAACCAATCCTTGAGGGCGGCGGGGAGCTGGTGCGAGAGACAGAAATGGACGTGGACACTACCGAGGCGGTATCACTAATATCATGACTTCCAGGCGTGTCAGGGCGGTGGACACCAGACAGAGCCCGGGTCGCTGCGTTCAGTGTGCCGCTCATAGGTAGCGTGGGTGGCACTTCAGCCTTTGGCGTGTTCACCACACGAAGAGTCTTGGGTGCTGCCTTGACACTTGGGGATGAGACACTGGCTGCTGATGGCGGTAAGGCTGGAAATGCAGCCGAATCAGCTTTATCAGAGGAGGAGACGGTTGAGGCTTCTGCTGATGTCTTTGCCTGAGCAGCTTTCACGGCTGCGGCAATGTTCAGAACCGGCGCTGGCTTGGAATCGGCAGCCTTAGACGTAGGCTTGATGGGCGATATGGCGAGCGACTTCAAAGACTCGGTTGCCTTGGAAGGCGTCGACGGGACTGGCTCGCTCAGGGGTTTTGGCTCAGAAGACGCGTTCGTCTCTTTTGTTTCTGTCTGAGGCCTTTTGCTGGGTGTCGCCGCCGTTTTGGGCGTGAGGACTGATGGCACGGCCGGGGCGATCGTCTTGGGTGCTGGGCTCTTGACAGCATCCAGGGCAGGGAAGTCCTCTTCTTGCAGGAGCTTCTTTGACCGAAGAGCTGGCGAAGATGCGGCTATATCCTTGGACAAACCACTCTCAACTGCCAATGCTTTGATACTTTTCTTCGCCTCGGAGCCGGGCATCTTCTTGCGAGGGGTCTGATCGGGTGTGACTGAGCCGACAACGCTCGCAAGTGTTTGCGTTTTGAAAGCCGTAGGGGTTGCGACCCGCGCGGGCTGCTGAAGCATCGTAGGAACTACGGGCGCCGCGAGCGTGGTGCGAATGGCGGGTGATGGGTGTCTATGGGATAGACCCAGGCCTGGCGGCGGACCAGGTGTAGCTGTAGAGGCGCGCGATGATCCGAATCCTTGGATGAACAGGTTCGTATCCAATGGGTCGTCTGAAACCAACGCGTCAACGGAGCTCGATGCTTCGTCAAGCGAAGGAAGTTCATCATCTACAGTCCAGGTCAGTAACGTCGCCAAAATTGCGATGCAAGCACCAAAGCCATCCCGCAGGAGGCAACGCGGCGGTTCCCAGAGACAGAGCACAGAAAGGACGAGCTAGATACATGTCTGCTTGGTCCGCAAAGATCAAGTCACAGCTCCATCATCGTCTTCCCATGTCCGCCTCCGCGAAAGATCAAATGAAAGCACGAGGTGGACAAAGAGTGTGGGCAAGTTGCTATATTTGACCATGCTCCTCTTCCATCCTCGGCCGAGAATGGTCTGTGGAGTTAACGTACATTGGAGCATGTGGAAGACGATGATAGCTTGCCTGAAATGACACTTGCGCCCCAAGCTTTGCGAGAAGATTCGCCCGGAAAAGAAAGACGGGGTTCAGAGCCGGCCAGATGGTCAGCTACGGGCCCCTCATGCCAACCAGAAGAAAACGCCTGATGCAATCCTTGCAAACCCTCAAAGCGGCCCAAGAAGGGATGCCGCAATGCTCGCTGCCGACTCCATGCGGAAAAAAAAGTGTTCCGTGAGTCCCGCCGGTATTCGGTTCGCTCCTCGAAATATCGCATGCCGCGACGCTCTTCATAGTACATGATACGCAACAAATAAAAGAAATGACACCCCTTCAACCTCCTGACTCGTGTGCTCTCGTACTTCATATTCTTACTTGTGCCCCGTCCGGTTCTACCATCCGGATCCCGGGAACCGCGTGTTGTACATCATGTTAGGATTGTACCCACCTTGGCTCTGTCCACCGAACAGTCCCTGTCCGACTCCGGCGCTGCCCTGTGACTGGTGCTGCATTCTTGCTTGCAAGATACTCGGGTCCGCAAGATCGACTAGGCCACCTCCCCCAGAGGAGGAAGTGTTAGCATGTCTGTGCTTCTTCCCCTTCTTCTTCTGCTGCTTGGGACCAAAGTCTTGGAATGCTCCAGGGGGGTTACCGTAGAGCGACGCCAGGAGACCCGGAGCAGGGGCTGGGGAGGAAGAGGTGGAGGGTGGGTACTGATTAGAAAAGGAAGACATCAACTCACGCTTTGCGGCATCATGAGCCTGGCTATTGGCCGCGCCTCGGCCCCTGATCAAGCTCTGAAGAAGCTCAGCAGAATCCTTTGACGCGGCACCGAAGCCCGCGCCACCGTACCCCTGGCCCTGTCCGAACATAGCTGGCGGCGTGCCAGTCGACTTAAGTCCCGGAGGTGGTCCAGGCATGGAAGACGAGTAGTACTGGCTACCTGGTTGTGCGTGGAAAGACGATGGCATCATCGCAGACTGTTGAGCCATGATCCGCGGGTTCGCAGACACCTTCATCGAAGACGAGCCAGAATTGTCATTGGCAAAACTGAACCTTGATCCCTGGCGGTTATGGCCACCGCCCTGCTGCGGTGCGAGCGATCCCTGGCCAGGTGTGATGCCGGGGGGGGGAGGTGGTCACCAAAATCCACTCTGGCCCTCGCATGTACAGTTGCTTGTTGTGGTGTCATGGACCGGCTTCCGGCATTTCGATGCTGTCTGGGCTTGAAGCCCGGGAGCCGATAGCAGGGCCAAACATGTCCGTCCGAGCTAACGCGCTGGATAAGGAGGCTGGGCCGCTTCCGCCGGCGGTTGGTCCGAATGCTGCCTCTCGAGGTCGCGTCGCGGTCCTTC